TAATGCACAGAAATATAATACTAGCAATTTATTTAAAATCGAAACGCTTTCAAAAACTCATCGCTTAATCTCAGGCAGAATTCGTACTCGTACTACTTAAAGTATATTAAGTTAGACGCAATACGGCTTGTTAACATAAACTTTAAATGATCATAATAAAAAACAATATATGTACTTATATCCAAAATATAAAATTATTACTTACACTATATTATGGTGACCCTTACTCTTTATTATTATTTTATTTTAGCTAAGATCTATACAGTTTAATTATTAATGTATTCTTCTTATGTTTTTATGAATTGTTCTTGTTTTCAAAATGTCTAGATTATATCTTTGAAATTTAAAGTGACCTATATTCGAAGTGAACAGCGGAATTGGCGTTAGTTTGAATGCATTTGTCAAGCTCTGGAATAAATTATTCCAGTATGCGAACACAAAACGCAAACGATGATCAACGTATACATGAGCCAAAATTTATTTGAATACAATTACGCGCCTAACTTTCTTATCAACAATTCCGTCTTGCACGCGCTTTGAATGTATTTCGGCTGAAGTACAAACACGTATATTTTCATGAAGCAAATTTGAATGAAGTGTTTCGATTTGTGGGCATAATTTTAAGAAATTTGATATCAGAGTAGCCATGCTCAATATCTTTCCTAGACACAATAATAGTTAGTGGACACATTATAACAAGTTCTTGAAATTAATTGGAGACTTAATTTAAAAAATTAAATGGAGGACACTTTCTATATCTATCAACGCCGTTTAGGCTTTCTAAGGAGATATTAAGCCAACTCGCTATACCGTACAACTGGAATGAGAAAATTAAACAATAAGCATAATAGAAAATGCAATATTGAGAAATAGCCCTTATCAACATGAGTGACAATAAAGCCCCTTAATCGAGTTCGATCAATCACTAATGTTATTCATTAGCAAAGCATTTTAATGACCTTGTAGGACGTGCAGGATTCCTATTTATATTATTACCTATTTATTTGACAATTTTTTTTATGTTTTAATGTTATTGAAACCTATTATAAACATATGGACCTCATATGCGCAGCAGCGTTCTCATCACGAGGAATAAAAGTTGAATTTTAGTTAGGGATAATTTAATGTACCTACCACCTACTAGGATTATGGGAGGCAAAAGTGTTATACCATAATGGCTCCCCTGGTAAGTGATCACAACAGCTATTGGACATTGAACAAACAAAGTAACCTGGAGACCACCTACTATAAATTTAGTAACATTGCCGAGTATAATAATAAAACAACAATTGTTTTATTATTATTCTCGATATATTAAAACATTTCAGCTGAAAACAAAGCTGAAAATAAAATTAAAAATTTACGCCATAGTCGACATCCATTTGACCTTGAATAACCTTACACAGACCTTGCATCTGTCAAATGGTGGCGAAATCGCAAGATGCTTCCTGACAGACGGTTTTATCACAGCGATTACAGCCGTAGCGCTGGTGCTAAGCTATTGGCTTCAGTGGCAAATGTCGTGAGTTCGATTCCCACACGGGACAAGTATTTGTGTGACCCACAGAAAAATTATCCGCATCTGGGTGTTTGTCTCCCAAGGAGGGTTGACGTAAGGTAGGCGGCCGGTCGTAAAAAATATAGGCAAAACCGCTTACAACAGGTGGGATGAGGGCAGGAGGATGATGATGATTACACAAAGACGTCATAAAAGAATTATTAGAAAATATTGTCCTTCTAAACGTCGCACTAAAATACTCACTTATACAAATACACCATACTACCGATAAAATGTCGGATAAAAATACAGATACATTTCTGCTACCGTGAAATACACATAGAATTATTACCATACTAAAACCATCCTAACAATATATTACTGAATACAATTAATAACACTACTTTATCTCAGGAATTGTAATAATGTAAATTGATCTAATAGTTTAAAAAACAAGCACCCATGCTAATACGGTAGAAATAAATTATTACAGTAAGAGAAAACTTACTTAAATCGATTTCTTTTTATCGGACAGGTTTCAATTTCCTTTTTTTATGTGAAAAGTTGGCAAAAGAGCCGGCGGCTCGTCTGGTTATCTGACTGCTTTCTTGAATTTAGAGTTTTATCATTCACATAAAATCGTCGTAAATGCTGACTCGTACAGGGTATGTCAATCTTGCAACACAAAATACATCCACGTCATTATATGGCTATTTTACGAAAAACATACGATTGAAAAGTCACTACTCGTATGCACTAGTCCTAGAAACAAAGGGTGGAAAAAATTTCAGGGTTTAATTTTTGGTTCTGAATATTTTGCCACCTATTCAATATAATACAAGATGTCAACTAGTCGAAGACACTTAAAAAAAATTAATATCGTATTCAGCGACTTGTTTTAAATTAATTTTTATACCTATACATTTATAGCTATCACTATTTTATAAAATGATTAATATACTATTTGCTGACACACCACTATAAATTACGTGCAAGTGTTGTTGAAAGGTATCACAGTATTACTTGACATAAATGTTCACTCAACTGAATAAAATAAATTGTGCATTGGCAAGAATGTTAGTAGGAAAGTAACCTAAGAGAGCTACAATTCAATTCCTTTTTCATACGTACTTCAGTGTCAAAATTTGACCTAGAAAAAAGTTTAATAGTTAATTTTAATTTATTTATGAATTACTATAATCACCACTCGGTTGCTATGAGATGTTTATTTAACTCATGAAATTACTATAGTCTTATATTGTATGCTTTTGGCTCCTTACCAATATTATGTAAACTAATATATGTTTACGGTCTACGCCAATAATAAAGACTTCAAATTTCATCGATAAAACTTTTAGCTTTACCTCCTGCAATACAAATTTCTGTTTTTACCGTATATTATGTTGAAAGAGCCGTGATAGCTCTGTAGCTCCGGGCGCTCGCATTGTATTCAATATACTTGAGCAACCTGAATTCGATCCCCGGTGCCAGCACCAATGAAATTGTTAATTTTAAGTGCTGTATTATCACGTGCTCAACGGTGAACGAAAACATCGTGAGGAAACCTGCGTAAAGTGGAAGTATGACAAATACTTTTGCGTTTCGTCTGGTGAGTGAGGTAGCCGGAGCCCAATTTTTAAAAGGGGCCCATTTTATTAAAAATTGGCAAAGCATCTGCAATCCTACGGGTGCTGCAAATGTCCATGGGCAGCGGTTATTACTTGACGTTGAGTGAACAGCGCGCTTTCCACCTGCCCATATAAAAAAAACATTAAATAATAATTTTGAAATATATGTTTAACTGTCTTTACAGTTGAGTTTATTACCTACACTTATTATACCATACATTTTATATGATATTTAATTATTATGCTATTTTGGGGCACCTTTAAAAGTTGAAGTTTATGCTATTATCCAAGCTGTAACGAACTGCTAGAAAAGTTGTTGGACATTGCGTTTAAAAGAAATAACCCGAGCACATGTTTATAGCAATGAAGCATAAAATCAGTTGTAACTGACAAATAAACGATAGTCTCCAATATAAAGACACCTTTATATCTTTTTTTTATTGGTCTACAATTAACAATTGAATTGTTCTTTTTTAAAACAACATGATATATTTCATTATGTTATATCATATTATGTAATATGGTATGATATTATAATTATTAAATATTACCCCATTTTAACATGAAAAAAGCTATGTACGTGTTAAGATACATGTTTCACTTAGTTTACTAAGTCAAAAGCCTGAAAACTGATGATCCTATTAAGTACAGACTTGCTGTGGGCTTAATCTTAGGCAGTGATTTTAACATATGTACTTCAAGCCACTTTTATAGCACCAAATGTAAACGGTCTGATAAGATCTATGAGAACCTGCCTATCTCGTCTTATGATACAAGGAGTTAAGATTACATATATATATGAAATAATTAAAATTAAACGCTAGAAAACAGTAACGCTTACACATAATAAATTCACCAAAGTACGCCAGTTTATAGGATCATGTTGAGTTCAGGATACTCACATATAAGAACTCTTAGCGAAAACTGTTAGTGTATACTTAATACCAAATACTACTTAGTATGCTAATTACTATAAATATATATATATATATATCCTTTTATATATAAAAAAGGAATAACAATATAAGTAGGTAATCAATATAAAAAAAAATTACTGTAAACAGGAACCCTGGCGTGTTTATTTAATTATTATTAATATAAATTCATGCGAAAATAAATCTGTAGTCACTAATTAATTACGGTTTTGCCATGTTTTTATTAGTATGAATTTCAGTTGTTAACTATAACCTAACCTATTCGTTCCTAACTAACTTTATTCTACTCAATTATTACTATAAGCAGTTGGATGTCTCTTTAAAGAACACGTGATTTATTAATGATTTTATACTAAAATACACCACCTTACATTTATTATATATAGCAAATATGTAATCACCATATACATCAAAGCTATTTCGTACAAACATATTTATGTTAGCTAAATGTTGATTAAGATTTCCTCATCCAGTCGTTATACATTTAATAAATTATATAACGGCTTTACTTCCGATCTTGAACACGGCAACTACCGAAACTGTCAAAAGTTGTGTATTTACTATTTTTTTAGTTTTGAGAAGTATTACAATTTCAAAGATGGTAGAAAAACTACACGGGTAAATATTACATACTTATCGCATTATATAAACATAAACAAACAATCCCTAGTGAAGTCTTCGTAACAGAATGGCATTTGTCTGCAGATGTATAATAAAGACTGTCTGAGTCAGCAATGATGCTATGAAAATGTCACGTTTTTTAAAATAAACGTATTATATCGTTCTATAAAAATTTTGCTTAAAGAGTTAGTATAAATCATCACAAATTGTGTGGTCTTTATTGATTTTCACTAGTTTAAGCTTTTGTTTTAAAATTCAATATATAAATTCAGAGTGATTTTAAAGGGGCATTATAAAAAAAAATTAAAATCTTTTTCACCCTACACTGCTCTTTGTATAACTTCTACGGTCCTGATAAATATGCAAATTATCACTGTTAAGCTTTGTGTGATTATTCTTATCATTATTTGCCAAAAATTTTTCATTTTCTTTTTCGAGTCTCTCATTTATGAGGTCGTTCTCCATGCTCATACTTAAAGTTACTGCCTCTTGATTGGAAATATTGTCTTCGGGATGATATGGATTTTTGAATTCACTTTTAACTGCAGTCTTGTAATTTTCCAAGGCAAGCCTCCGAAAAATTTCGGAACCCATAAGTTTATCCACTAGCTTCATTAAATCTTCCGAATCGACTTGTATCGTTATACATTTGCAACTTATTGAACAAACCACTGCAAATACTGAAAATAATATACCAGTTTAAGTAATTAATGCTATCGTGGTAGTGCTACGTAGCAGTCTTTCCTGTTGCACAAATAGACAGACCTGGGGAAGTACCAAAGCTTTACAGAAGACCGGCGTGAATTGTAAGTGTTATGATTCTGTTTCGTTTGGTAAACGCATTTGCTTCGTAACCCAATTGCAACTCTACATGGTGTTGCAGATGTCGGTGTGGCCGGTGGTTATCATTTAATATCACATTCTTACATCAAAAAACGAAAATAATTGCCTTTAAAGGATTGGTACTAGCCCAAAAAATCTTTAAAACATCTAGAAGGCATAAGACAATCATCAAGAAATATTTAAAGAAATGAAGCAATTATTAAAATATACTTACCGAGAATTTGTAGCCACAATGACATTATTCTTATATTTTTTTTCAAATTTCACGCATATTTGCTTAATAAAACTAATGTTGAAGTAAAAAAAGAGCGTAATAATAGTTTAGTGGTAAGTGATTTCACAGTTAATTAATTTCAAGCAGGTAGAACGTGCTTTAATCGTCTTAACGCGTTTTTAAACGATCGCTGGGTTGTGAAGGTTTTCTATATTTCTATATAACTCTTTTTGTAATATTACATAATCAAAACAATTAAGGTATAGTTCACCACGCGATAAATTCAGGTTTCTGCACGTTGTTTTCTTTCACCATTGAGAACGTGATAATTCAGCACTTAAAATTAAAAATTTCAAATGATGCCGAGACCGGGGATCAAATTAAGTTTGCTCTTAAAAATTAAAGAGCGAGCGCCCAGACAATAAAAAATTTAATACGAAATTTAAAAAAAACCTGTAGGGTTTAACGGTGGTAGGGCCACGCAACAGCCTCGGCTGCTGCACGAATGGGCAGGCCCGTCCGGGTAAGTACCACGACCTCACAGAAGGCCAGCGTAAAGTGGAAGTATGACAAATACTTTCGCGTTTCGTCTGGTGAGTGAGGTAGCCGGAGCCCAATTTTCAAAAGGTTGTCAACGCATCTGTAAGCCTCGGGTGTAGCAGATGTCCATGGGCGGCGGTATTCACTTACCATCAGGTGAACCGTCTGCTCGTTTGGCAAATTTTAAGACAAAAAAAAAACAAAAACATATAAAATGTTAAATGAATAACGCTCATTTAATTATATAATATCTTTATATGGGTAAAATTTAAAAATGAGAATAGCAATAAGTTTTGGGTATTTGTATAATAAACAAACAAAATCAATAGTTGCGTGTTTCCTCCAAATTTTAGCAATTCCACAACGGTCCTTGGTTACAGACGTTTGACCTTTCCTTGTCGGTAATTATATGCAAACGTCTAAGTTTACGAAATTCGACATTAGTGAGTACTTGAAAAAAGGGTTTGCTTTATTGGAAAATGTTTGACTTTCACTTTGACTAGACGTTCTTAATCTATACAGATAAATAAAATTGGAATGTCTGTTTGTAATATTAAAATAAACGCTTTTTACTAAATGCATAAGGATGTATACACGGTACATATACCAAAATAAGATTTTTTACAATTTTTGTCTGTCTGTCTGTCTGTCTGTTTGTTCCGGTTAATCTGTGAAACGGCTAGACCGATTTGGACAAGACTTTCACTGACAGATAGCTGATGTAATAAGGAGTAACTTAGGCTACTTTTATTCTAGAATTTTTATTATTTTAAATTCCACGCGGATGAAGTCGCGGGCACAGCTAGTACAATATAAAATATTGTACCCAAAATTTGAAAACTGCGGGTACATTTTTTGTTAGAATAAAGTAGTTAAAAATTTAATCCTTACTACTAAATTTAATTTTACATTTATTACGTTGCCAGCTTTTAATAAAGTGTAAAAAAACGACACATACAGGAGTGGGACGTAGCCTACGCCTTAATAATGTACTTAATTACCACATAAATAAAAAAAACATTCCGATTTAATATAATTAGTACATATTTCAATATTTCCGAGCACTATTCAAAAGAGGATGTAACCTATTTCATTGCCAAAATAGGATATGTGTAGTGATGAAATATAGCGACAGAACTATTTAATTTATACTATACAGGGTGGCTTTTCTAAAGGTGCCCAAATTCACACGGGAGGTTTAGACAAGTAGCGTAATTTTTTTATTTGATTTGATTTGCTTTGTTCATGTGCGTGGAACGTCTACAGCATAAGGGTGGAGCCGCGCCGAACTAGTTCAAACATAACTCAAAATATGATTTAATTACACCGGTCATTTTAGGGACAGTATCTCTATTGCCATAACAGCAATATTAACAAAGAAATTTCCACTGGCAACTATTCATTCAATTTATTCACAGTACTAACGAATACGCTTAAGAATATGATATCATTTCGTATATAAATATGTTTTGCTGTGACATAAATAAGAAACATGATTTTAGTTGAAAATTGTATCTCTGATCACGTACTACTAACATATTGCTTTGAGTTTCTTTATTTGCTAGTAAATAGGTACAGAAAATATTTTGTCACACAAATGTCAAGCTAACCTATTTAGCTGTTTTGAACAGCATGCAAATGTGCATAAGATAGTTAATTCTATTTTTTTTTATTTTTTTACAAATAACTAAAAACGTCCTTATACAATTTTAATAGATATATTAATTATGCATTGCTTTACATTATGGCAGTTGTCTCAGAATCTTTATCAAGACTATAGTTTCTTTTATATTGAGGAATAAAACATAATACCAGCAACAAGAAAGATAAATTGAAGAAAAGAATGTAATGAATATTGCGACTACGTGAAATTGAAATTCCCAATAGACTTCGTAAAGATTGAAACACTTGCTAGTACTGAAATGAATTTCCATGCTTGCAAAAAACATTAAATTGAGTCCACCGAATTAGTCTTGTAACATTATTACATTAGTTTAATATACAATATTTTCTACTATTATGTGACTCTGATCTTGTATTCGTTTTGCAATTATTAGCAATGGTCACGCTAGCACTAAGCTGTGAACGCAGTCGAAATGGGATAACACTTGTGTCTTCTTTTAAGTCTACGCTTATTTAGATTTAATATATAAAGACACGAGGTTCGAATTTAAAGAATATTGAATAAAATTATAAGTACACATTTAAATAAGAAAGTGAGACCGAGTGAGAAATAAGAATAGAATGAGACAAAGTGTAAGCATTCACCTATAAGCTGTATGTTCAGCATTAATGGAATATATGTCCTTGCCTTTCTTAAAACTTTTCGAAGCTCTCTATTAAAGATATTTTACATAACTCCTTATAGATATTTTACACAACTCCCTAAGATTATAACATTAAATAAATATAATAGTTTCCGTCTTCCTCTAATGTAGATTATATTATAACTGTTTTACCTCTAAAATATTAATTCTATTTTTTTTTTCATGTGAAAAGTTGCTAAACGAGCAGACGGTTCACCTGAGGTTCACCTGTTAAGTGAATACCGCCGCCCATGGACATCTGCTACACCCGAGGGTTCCAGATGCGTTGCGACCTTTTGAAAATTCCGGCTACCTCACTCACCAAACGAAACGCGAAAATATTTGTCATACTACCACTTTACGCTGGTCTTCTGTCAGGTCGTGGCCCGGACGGGCCTGCCCATTCGTGCAACAGGCTGCTGCGTGGCCCTACCACCGTAGATGTACGTATATATTTTATGAATCAAATATATACGTACATCTACGGTGGTGTCGTTAGATATTTACAAAGTCCATTACCAGGGTAAAGGTGCTTAAATAAAATATCCTAATTGGTCCAATGTTTCAGAAGTACTTTAAATGAAATTTCCAGAAATAGCCGAACATACGTCGAGAGGATAATTAACGAAGTTGCATAATCCCGTGGAGAACTTGAGCTTAGTGTATTTCATTCATCACACAAAGGCGGACTTCTCTTAATGCCAGTGGGCATTTTCTGTCAATATATATTTTAAACATACTATTATACTATTATAATTTACTGTTACAATACTATTATAATTTAACATCACACATTTTACACACAAGTGTGGGAAAATGTGTGATGTTTCAATTTTTGTTTTCTTTTCTTCTGTATTTTTTATGTTTGCGGTTTAAATGTACACGTGGCGTATTGGTGAAATAAATGTTTTCTTTCTTTTTTCTTTCTATTAGATGTGATTAAAATGTATTGAAACTTTTTTATACACACAAATTATGGTGTCGACGTCATAAATCACTGACACTGACTCCCTAATTCGCCAGTAGCTATACTAATAAAAAAAAACGGTCAAGTGCGATTCGAACTCATAGCCCGAGGGTTCCGTACCTTTCCAATTTTATTATGGCAATTATTTACCAACTAGCTGTTGCCCGCGACTACGTCCGCGTGGAATAGAATGAAAGCGAAAAGTTCAGACAGATACAGACAGATATCTATATATATATAATAAAAATGTTACTTGTCTTTGTCGGTACACGGAAGATATTTGAGAAAAACTATTATTAAAGATCCTCCTTTATCAACACAATAGAACCCAAAACAATGGTTGTTAAAATTTTTATCCGTGTGTATGTGCGTTTGTGCGCGTAATCTCGGAAACGGCTTAACCGATTTGGGTGCAATTTCACTTATGCAGTGTAGTACTTCACTTAACATTTAGTGTTAGTTTTATTCAAATCGGTTTATAAATAAAATTTTTATATCAACTTAAAAAAAAGTAATCGCTACAGCTGAATTGGATGAAACTATAGTTAACTACAATTATATTATGGTCTGTAAAATGATGATGATTGTTAGATTATATAAATTTAAGAACCAGCCAAATGCGAGTCGCAATCGTGAACGAATAGTTCCATACCATAATCTATAAAAAAGGCAATAAAATTATGTCCGTTGTATGAGAGCCCCACTTAAAAAAAATATTGTGATTTAGGTACTTTATTTGTTATTATAGCGCCAACAGTGAAAATTTCAACTGTCTAAATATCACAGTTTATGAGATACATGTATCAAACAGATGCTAGCAGTCTAGCTAGCATCAGTTTGTTTGAACTCACTAATCTCAGCTATTACTGGTCCGATTAGAAAAATTTCTGCACTGTTAGATAGTCAATTTATTGAGGAAGGACTTTACTTTTAAGGAGGAATTACTTTTTAAGCACGATATAAAATGTGGTATATACGGGCCGAACCGCGGGCGAAAAGCTGGTGTACAATAAAATATCACTTTAAATATCACATTCATAGTTTTGCCTTCTGGGATACAATTACTATGGGTCACACAAATAATTGTCCGGTGTGAGAATCGAACCCACGCCGAAGGCAATGCCTTGACAACTGCGCAATTGTCAGTGATCTAGCGAGTGGTATTCGCGAATTAACATATAACTGACTCCAATGTGCGAGATAATGAATGGT